ATTTTGGACTGAAATTTGCCAAAATTATCCCTCCAAATTACCACGCTTTACTATACCTTCTTGCAATCGTTTTACATCACATTAACACTTAAATCAAAAAACAAGCTATTTACAAGTTGATCTCTTCATGCAATTTCCTACTTCTTACCTTCTTGTAGGCTGCGAAGTTGACTAACTGGCTAGTAGATCCTTTTGATGCTGCCATTACTAAGCCACACCTTTGTATTAAAATAGGGTGGGGTAGTCTCGCCTAGCCACCAGCCCCCCTCCGTGACGAGCTGAGCTGAGGCTGCTGACAGAGCAGTTTTACTTTAGCACTGTGCACTCACTGGCAGTCACTGCACTGACTGAGCCAGGTGGTAGTCAGACTAGCCAGGTGGCAGGTGCAGCAAAATATTGTTTTCATCATGACTTACAGTAATACTGGCAATCCTCTGGATTTGGCTGAAGTTAATAGCAACCTCTCGATCAAGAAGTGTTGGGACAAAGAGGAGGAGTATGTGAATGACTGGAAGCTAAGGGCGAGGAATGATGGTATGGAATTTTTGAATCGACTATTACAAGAGCTCTTAAAAATAAAGAGGATTGACTTAGTTGGAGAAATATTGAGCGATCCCGTGATTAAAAGGTTGATACAACCAATAAAACACACCTCTACTACTCTCCTTCAATCAAAAGTAACTGAAGAAAGGAACGAGGAAGAACAAGACTTGCTTTTACATAATAGGGAGGCACAAAAATGTAGGAAGTCAATATGTCGTACAGTGACTGTCGTACTACTATCAATACTCTTGGTCGCTTTGATTTGCTTCATTATTGTGCAAATAATTGCTTTGATTGAAGTTTCAGACATTGCTTGCAGCAAGGAAAAAGAAGCTGACAAAATAGTTGCTGAAGGTGATTCTGTGTCCTTATACACGTTAGATAAGAAATACGTAAACACGATTGAAATATCTGAAGAAGTCAAAAAAGGTGATAGCAAGCATAGTGTTACATTGGTTCTGGTCCCAACAGCTAAACTACAATATGATGTAATCTATGAATCAGAGTCTTGGAATGCAACAGCCTATGTTGCTGATTTCCCAATTATTAATAATATCTACGTATATCTCAATACTGGGTCCAAGTTAAACTTTGACATTTGGATTGGTAATGGCAACAATAAAAAATCAGCTACACTATACATATTTGATGATATTGATAACCTAAACGACTATATCAGGTACAGCGAAGTGAAGTCACCTGTATTTACAAAGAAAATACCAATCGAAGGAAAAGATGGAAAGCAAATACCACATAATGTAATCTTTACTTCTCCAGCAGATGGCTATTACTTCATCATCCTACTAGCACCAGAAGCGAATATCCAGTTTTCGTACACTGTTAACACTACGGAACTGGTTACTGACGTTGATCAATACACTTCTGACTACCCGTCCTGTGTAATTGATACAGAAAAGAATTGTACACTAAAAACTAGTGATACCAAGCATCCCACTAGCCAAAATCTTACC